CCTTATGCAGAGTACAGTTATAATAACTCTGTGCATAGCTCCACAGGGTTGTCTCCTTTCAAAGCAATGCATGGCTATGAAGGCACTCCCTTGCCCACCATAGGTACCCCAGCACCTGGCCTGGGAGACCTCCAGAGTTGGTGGCAGGACTTGAAGGGCCAGTGGTCTGTCACCCAAAAGACTCTTGACAAGGCCAAAGTGGATTACAAAACTCAGGCTGATAAAGGGCAAGCCCCTGAGTGGGATTTACAACCTGGGGACTCTGTGTACCTATCCACAGAACACTTGAGAGGGATCCAACCCAAACGGAAATTGGGTTGGAAATATGTTGGTCCTTTTACTGTAATACACAAAGTGGGGGAAGTTGCTGTTGAACTTTATTTGCCCAAATCTCTTAAAGATGTGCACCCTAAGATGTTCATTTCAGTCTGCTGAAACGGGCCCTAGGCCCCAACAAGTGGAGACCGTGACCACCACCCCTCCACCTCTGATGATGAATGGTGAACCACACCAAGAGGTGGAAGAGATTTCAGATTCTAAGCTGAAGCGTGGCTGCCTTTATTATCTTATAAAAAGGACTGACTTTGACCCTTCTCATAATGAACGGGTGCAGGACTCTCATGTCAATGTCCCTAAACTTGTGGGTGCTTTTCACAAAATGTATCCAAATAAGCCTGGTGGGTAGAATCTTTGGGGAGGCAGAATGTCAGCGAGGCCTTTCTTTAAGCCCTGGATGCCATGGGAGGGGGTGTGTGACTCTGGAATGTTAAGTTTCAATTCTGCTGTGTCTTCTATGTTTCTGTTATCTCTGTCTGACCTTCAGTGCCTGGTGTAGCATTTCTCCTGGGAAAAGTAGCCCATTACTTTGGTGGGCTTCTACCTGATCCCTGATTGGCCCTGGGCCATCAAGGCATAACCTTGAATGATGTATAACTGCCTATTGCACGTGCTTTCCTTTAGTTCTAACATGAAATGCTGTTGGGAACTGATTGCTGCAGGAGTCTGACAATCCAGCCCTCATAAGAAATGAGTTTGACACCCCTGACCTGGGCTGTTCTGAATGCCTAGGGCAAGATGAAAAATGTACGAAAATTGAAAACAAAAGTTATCAGTCCTGTCAGCAATTTCATGACAAAGAAGTTGTAGGGAATATTTAGTGGAATGACTCCCTGGATAGTGGCCATAACTTTATTCTATTGTATCAGTTGTATAAATAGGGGGTGGCAAATTGCACTTTATGTGCATATCAAATGCGTAAACAGAAAGGACACTAAACAAGAGTCCTTACAGTTTGCAAAAATCTTCATGTGTGGCTGGTTGTCAAACTTGGTGTCTTGTTTGCGATGAATTACAGTTTTAAGGGGCCTTGAGCGGGAACTGAAATTCTGGAGGGGGGGGGGTTGAATGGATGTGTGTGAGAATTGTTCTGTTGTAGTGGCTGTGCAACTCTTTTCTAAGGTGCCTCCCTTCTCTGGGATGATGAACAATGGATGCTGTCTGTGCTTGCTCCACAGTAATAGATAATATAACAGTAGACTCGCAGGTGGGGGCTGGAACACATGCGAAATCTAGGTGGGCTGAATGTGAGTTACGTTTAGACTGGACCTGGGGGGAAGCTTGTTTGAACTCTGTATAACTTTGGGCCTTGGCGCCAGAACTTTAGTTCTGACATTTACTCATTGTAGCGGGAATTCTGAGACAGACCACCAGGGATTCAGTAAGGAGAGTCAACAGCTGTTTTATTATTGTGCAGGTACAGCCAAAGTACCTAGGGGCACTTTTGAACAGGGCTTGTACAACGAATGAAGGTGGAGTTAGGCTTATATAGATTTCCAGAGTACGGGGGGGGGGGGGACTCCTTTTCCTGGTATTTTTTGACTTTTTCTGTATTTGCCAACCTAGCAGTTCGAAAGCAAGAAATTGCAAGTAGATAAATAGGTACCACTTCAGTGGGAAGGTGTTCCGTGCGCCTTGGTGTTTAGTCATGCCGGCCACATGACCACGGAAACGTCTTTGGACAGCGCTGGCTCTTCAGCTTTGAAACGGAGATGAGCACCACAACCCTAGAGTCGGATTTGACTGGCTTTCGAGCAAGGGAACCTTTACTTTTACGTTTTTACTTTTTCAAAACCACAACATCCTTGGCTGATCACATGTCCCTTGTGGGAAGGCCGATAGTTTCCTGTTATCAGCATGTCTGATTACAGAAATAAAGCAAAGGTTAACCTCTTCCTTAGTAATGGGCCATTCAGGAACACCTAATATGGCCATGCCTTGTTTGCAAGCCTCTATGTCTTTATCTTGTTTTTTTTCCTATTTGCCAAAGCAATACTTTACTCATCAATAAACTAAATATATATAAATATGAAATGTGTATATTAATATAAAATGTCTTAGTTGCGAGTTCCTGGTGCTCAAGACTCATTTTGAATCATTTGAACAATCGGCTTCTTCATTTATTAATGATCATCATGAGTTTGTATATTCATCTGCGTAACTGCACATGAGGATTTCTGTAGATCACAAGCATCTATTTGGATTTTAATGCACATTTTGTAGTTAACAATTTTAAAGCAGGAATATTATTATCTTCAAAGATGGAATAGCTTCAGTCATAATTGACACTGTCTGTGTGTGGCATAATTAAATTCCTTCTCTCTGATCTCAGACCTCTTCATTAAAATTTAGAAATGATTGAATAAATTTTTAGCAGTTTTGAAGCTTTGTGAAAGCTGTATTTGTTTGCCAGCGTGAAGAGGGAGGGGTAGTGCTCCTCCCTTACTCGGGACTCCTGCACAGGGCGGCACAGCAGGGACTGAGTTTGGGGCTCGTCTGCACTCTCGTTTTCCTCACTGGTGTGTTCCTGTTGCCGGGGGTGGGTGGGGTCCACACAGGTTTTGCTCCCTCTCGTTGTTGATTCAACATCATATCACGTTATGTCTGCCATAAAAACCTGCAATTCAAATCTGCAGGGAAAATGCAGAAAAGCCCTTTAACCTGGGGGAGGAAGAAGCCCTCTACATGCCTTGTAGCTAACAGAAATTATGAACCAGAATTATTTTGAGAAGCATTTTCGTTCAGCCTGTTTGGCAGCAACAAATCACTTTAAATTCAGCCCTGTGAGTTCATGGATGTGCGCACAGCTGTTACCTATTGCACACACACACACCCGGCTGACTGGCTTTTCAAACATTTTCAAGGTCATATTACATGATGTTGAGCCATTTTGGCTGGAGTGGGTCATTAAAGCAATGCAGGTTTCAGCTGAGCCCCTGTTAGTCCTGGGTCTCTTAAAGGAAGTTATTGGAACACTCGGGGTCTCTTTTTAAGAACAAAGCCCTGTTCGGGTGGAGCTCAGAATATCGCTGATTGTTATCAAAAGGAGCAAAACTCTTAATCAGCCGAGAATCTCATTTCCTTTCATTTGTCTGAATATGATAACACTTCTGAAGGGCATCTGAAGATTAATTTTATATTGCTGTGTTAGGAAGGGTGGTGTTTTGTTTTTTTTTAATGATGTGAGTAGTGGCAGGAAAGGGGGCTTTTGGGGAACGGGAGCCCGCTGGAAGTGCTGCAACTGGAAGGAAGGAAATGGGAAGCCCCGGGACTTTTCGCAGACTGTGTTCTTTGTGCATTGAAGGAGGATCCTGAGGTAGAATCAGGAATGTTCTTTGTATCATTTTCCATTTTGCTCTGCAGTTCTTGTAACACATTCCAGAGATGAGGAGGAGCCAGTGTTGTGTCCGCGGGCTGCCACCAGGGGTCTGCGGCCTCAGTCCTTAGCTTGGTTCCAAACACAATAGGGACCAAGGATCCTAGGCCACCCTGAGTCCTCCAATAGGGCCTTGGCGGGAAATTCAGACACACACCCCAATGGAACTGTGGGTGTGCCCGGGTTGAGTGTATATAGTTGGCCCTTCCAGGCTGTGTGTGGTTCTCTTGTTGTGAAGTACAATAAATGCATGTAGTTAGCATGTCGTAGTCCAAGTCTCCATGTGCGAACCCAGCTTCAACGCAATGTGTGAGCCGCCTCCCGCAGGCAGACTTGCTTTGGAGTCAGGAGGGATTTTTTTTTCCCCCTCTTCAGATTATATCTGAGTCCATTTATCATTGGCTCTCTTACCTGGACCATGCTGTTTATTTTGAAGAAGAAGAAGAAGAAGAGATTGGATTTATACCACGCCCTTCACTTGGAGTCTCAGAGCGGCTTACAAACTCCTTTCCCTTCCCCTCCCCACAACAGACACCCTGTGAGGTGGGTGGGGCTGAGAGAGCTCTGACACAAACGGCTCTTTTTCAAGGACAGCTGTGCCAGAGCTTGTGACTGACCCAAGGTCACATCAGCAGGTGCAAGTGGAGGAGTGGGGAATCAAACCCGGTTCTCCCAGATTAGAGTCCACACACTTAACCACTACACCAAACTGACTGAGAAAACTTACAGTGCAGCAGAGTGTTACTTGGCTCTAAGCCCTCATTTGACTTAAGTGGGTTTAGAAAGGTACGGCTGTGCATAAGAGGGCATGATTCACCTGTGGTTTGCATGCTGTGTCCTTGGAAGAGGGGCAAGATGAAAACGAGTGGACAGACAGGGAGGTAAACGGGGGCAGCGTGATCTCGGAACTGGGGGGGGGACCACAGTCCCACCATTCTTTTGCCCCCAAAGCTCTATGGAGCTGGCAGGCAAGTTATGAAGGAGGGTGGCACTGCAAGGACAGAAGCTGGCAAGCAACGTTAAACCATCATTTGCCTGTTGTCCCTCCGGAAGCTCAGCCGTGGGTTTCAGAGGGCTAGCCGTATTAGTCTGCAATAAAACAGCTACATTGAAGGTTTTCAGGGTCGGAACCTTCGAGAGTCAAAGCTCCCTTGGTCAGATATCTCAAAACTCAAGACACACACACACACCCCAGAAAAATCTTGTTTCTCTACCCGGGCTCTAATCTAACTATTCGGCCTCGGGTGGGTGTCAATCCTTTTCAAGTGCCTGTTTGTCTTCCTTTCAGCTCTGGCTGCTCAAGCCTACGCCCTGAAGGAAGAGAACGACAGTCTCCGCTGGCAGCTGGATGCCTATCGGAACGAGGTGGAGCTCCTGAAGCAAGAGAAAGGGCAGCTCTTCCGGACAGAAGAGGGTCTCACCAAGGACCAGCAGCTGCAGTTCCTGCAACAGACCCTCCAAGGGATGCAGCAGGTACCCCAGCCCCAGTGCCACGGGAAATGCCACGCTCCTCCCCTCACTCGTGCCCAGGGGTCATTTTGTAGAAAAAGAGGTGCAGGAGCTCATTAGCATAACTCATTAGCATAACTTATTTGCATATGCCACACCCCCTGACATCACCGGAAGTGTGTCAGAAGGCAACACCCACCGGCTCAGGCTCCACTGGACTGTTTTGGATTGCTAGCTATGGGGGGGGGGGAACGTGCAGATCTGTCCTCGCAGAGGAGGGAGAGCTTGTGCCTGAATAAAACTTGGTCTTAAAGGTGCCACTGGACTGTTTTGGACCGGGGGGCCGGGGGAAGCTCTGCATTTTACCTGGCTGCTTCTTGCTCTGTCTTGAGGGCTGCTGGGAGCACGGGGCGGGGGGTGGGGCTTGTTGCATGTGCCCGCTTCCTGGGCTCTTTACTGCCGGAGCTCCGCTCCTGTGCGCTCCTGCAGGAAATGACCCCTGCTCGTGCCACCCTTTGAGCCACGTGTGCTCTACTGTTTCAGACCTCCGAAAGTGCCCACAGGCTCAAGAAGGCCAGGGACTCCTGGGCCAGCAGGAGGGTTAGGGTTACACTTTCCCAGCAACAATATGCTGATATCTGAAAGGGGAAGAAATGTGAATTCCCTCCAACAAAGTTGTTTCCTGAAGTAAAGACATTTTAAATTCTCTGCAGGGACATGGCATTTGAGGGAAAGATGCCAGGCTCCTCCGCAGTGAGCTGCATGTTCCGTTGGGAATGCACCAATCTTCTGGAAAAGATTGCATCTAAGTTAGATGATTTTAGAGAAAATGGGTACATTTTATGTATAGGAAAAATGAGGTACATCCTGCAATTCTCATTTGTTTTCACGTTACTGCTGCCATCTGGTCTTCTCTCCAATTTTTCAGGATTCTCTTTCACATTTACAGGACTGGGAAATAAGGGGGGGGAACCTGCATCATTCTATTCTCCCCCCCCCCATTTCTAGATTGTAGCACTTATGGAAAGCAGTAGCAATCCCACAATTGATATTGTCTGAAAATGAAAACCCATTCGACTTAATGGCAGTTCAAGCATTGCGCTCACAGATTTCTGCGATAACTCTTTCCATAAAGCTACAATACAGTTTTATTTCATTCCCAGTATGAGATCTCTAGCAAACGAATAGGAATAACATCCTGTATGCATAGTAACAAATGAGATATGCTCTCCTTGTTTATAAGATGGAGCTGAATTATAAAACTATACCACTTCATTCAGTGACTTATCTGGTCCATTCCCTTGGCCTTAAAATAGCCGTGTATCTCATCCTCCTTGCATGTAAATTAGGATCCCTCTCATCTAAACCAGATCTTTCATCAAACCAACTGCAAAAAAAGCTCTCTTGCCTCTTCCGTTGCTCGCTTGTAGGTCTCAGTAGTGGTCCGGATGACTCTTCCAGAGGTGGCGTAAGCAAAACAATACAAGTCTGGCTCCTTCCCTGGGCACAGCAGCCCAAAAGAGAGAACGAGACTTAATTGTTTGTTTCTTTATTTACAAAATCTGTATCTAGGGTTGCCAAGTCGACTCACCCCTCGGAGCGGGGGAGCCTCGCCGGGGTCTGGGAGTTCTTGATGGACGCGTGCGCGCGCACGTGTGCCAGCAGCACATCACAGGAAGTGATGTGCTACGTGCTCACGTTGGGGGCATGGCCCAGATCGTCGGGGGGAAAACCATATGGTTCCCCCCCCCCGACGATCTGGGCCACGCCCCCAATGTGAGCGACATAGCATGTCACTTCCTGTGACGTGCTGGTGGCGCGGGCACGTGTCCACTTTTGCTTGCCATTTTAATTTTTTCAAAACTTTTTTTCACACACAGGGACCTAGTTTAGAGGGGTGCCCTTTATTTTATTTCTGTGTTGCAGAAGCACAGATTTGCTTGCTTCTGTACAACAGAAACAAACAAAAATCCCATCACTATATCCCTTTCTGTGCCCAAAACCATTCACTTTTATTAGAAAAACAATCTGGTTCAACAAAGGGCTGCTCTGAAGGATCTTGTATCATTCTGTTTGTTCTATACTGCAACACAAGTACATGTTTTTCACAGGATACTGGATTGTCAGGGTTATTACATTGCTTACCCACGGAATTTAAACTTCTTGGCCCTTCGTTCATTGTCTCCCAACGAATCTGAGAATATAGGGAGGAGCATTCTTCCTTGACTCCTTGGGTTCTGTTCCACAGCATTTGGTAGAAAGTGAAACCGCTGGATTAAGGACAGAACGGCCCCTAACTGGGACAGAGCTGGAAGAGTTTGCTCCTCATCCCTACTCAAAATCTTAATTCCGTTCAAAGTCCCGTCCCCCCCCCCCCCCCGCG